TGTGGCAGTTGGTGCGTGACCATCTGCTCTGTGCTCTCCCCCCAGGGACAGCGGGGACGACATCGAGCTGGCATCCTGCACGCAGGGAGCCTGTCTGCCGGGCAGGGTGTCCTCCTGCAGCTGCGAGTTCCTGGCTGATGGTAAGGACTGGGGAAAAACAAACACCCACCAGGGAGGGTGGGCATCTCTGGGTACCAGCTCTGGTTGGGAGGGGGCCAGATCCTGCCAGCGATAAAAAGAAGGAGCCTGAAGCAAGTGCTGTGGGGATGGATCTTCCTCTGTCCATCACCTTTCTCTTCCTCGCACTTGCCCCTACCCCGGGGAGGTGGCCTGCCCCTGTTGAAGACATTGACATTGCTCCTGCACATCCTAGTACGGACAGAAAATCAAGTCCCTGTCTGCAGGCACTGGGGTCTCTGGGTTCCAGCAAGCAACCTCCCCCTGCACCGCCCCACCTCATCTCTATGCCCAACCAGGACACATCTGTGCCTCCCATCCCTGTCACACCAGGGGGAAGGAAACCCAGCACAGGCTGAAAGGGGGTCCCCCAAGCTATGGCCAGAGCCATAACCTAACCCCAACATGTCTCCAAAAACCAGGGGTGCTCCAGCGCGGTTGCCCTCAGAGCAGGACAGCTCCAGCCTTGTCCAGTGCTGGTGGGTGATGCTGAGCCATGAGCCCATCCCTCTGCAAATTCTCTTCCAGATGTGCCCAGGCCCCCGGACAGATGTGCCCTGCCCAGCGCTCACAACACCGCCACGGCCGCCACCATCCCCACACCCCAGACTCCCTGGGGGAGCTGCTCACCCACGTCCCGCTGGAGAGCTTCCTGCAGACGCTGGAGTCCTCCCCCGCCGCTGGTGGGCATCTCGCAGGTACTGAGATGCAGGATGCGGCCCCAGCACCTTGCTCTTGAGAGTGCATGGAGGGAGAGGAGGAAGCGGGGGGAGCGGGCGATGTCTGGGTGCTCCCTAAAACCTGCTGTCCCTGCGGCCAGGGGAGGACAGCGAGGCGGAGGCGGAGATCAACCTCTCCGACTTCCCTTGGTTCCACGGGACGCTCTCCAGGATCAAGGCGGCTCAGCTGGTGCTCTTCGGGGGAGCCCGGAGCCACGGCTTGTTCGTCATCCGGCAGAGCGAAACGCGGCCGGGGGAGTACGTGCTGACCTTCAACTTCCAGGGGAAAGCGAAGGTGGGTGTCCTCTGCTGCTCCCTGGATAGGAGTGCCAGCCCTGCCCAGCACCCCGGCCTCCTGCCCACCCTGCTGGGGCTCTGCAAACAAGCAGGTGCCATGCAGTGACCCCAAATGTAGCAGCTCTGCAGGGAGCTGCAGCCCGGCAGGGCATCCCTTGGGACCACCTGCCCTTGTCCCCCAAGAGCCCTCTGCGCCCTGCCCAGCCCCTTCAGCGCTTTCGCAGCTGGATCAGTGCCTGCCACGTGGGCATAAGGTTAACTCTCAGAATCATTCGGTTGGAATAGACCTCAAAGATCATCAGGTCCGACCATCAACCCAAGACCCCCAGGCCCACTACACCCTGTCTGCAAGTGCTACATCAACATGGTTTGTGAACACCTCCAGGGACGGTGACTCCACCACTTCCCTGGGCAGCCTGTTCCAGTGCTTGACAACCCTTTCGGTGAAGAAGTTTGTCCTCATGTCCAATCTAAACCTCCCCTGTCACAACCTGAGGCCATTTCCTCTTGTCCTATCGCTTGTTACTTGGGAGAAGAGACCAACCCCCCCCTCACTACAGCCTCCTCTCAGGTAGTTGCAGAGAACGATAAGGTCTCCCCTCAGCCTCCTCTTCTCCAGACAACCAGTTCCTTCAGCCACTCCCCATCAGACCTGTTCTCCAGACCCTTCACCAGCTTCACTGCCCTTCCCTGGACACGCTCCAGCACCTCCATGTCCTTATTGCAGCGAGGGGCCCAAAACTGGACCCAGCATTCGAGGGGCGGCCTCACCAGTGCCGCGTACAGGGGCACCATCACCTCCCTGCTCCTGCTGGCCACACCATGGCTGGCACTGCCATTGGCCTTCTTGGCCACCTGGGCACACTGCCGGCTCCTGTTCAGCCGGCTGCCGACCAACACCCCCAGGGCCTTACAGGAGCCCAGCATAGCCTGACGCATCATCCCCTGCCCTCTTCTTGTCCACTTCATGTCCTGAAGTACACAGATGCACTGAAAAAAAACAACCCACGTGTAGTTTTCTGCTGGGTCCCTTTTCTACCAGAGGGCACGTGCTGCAAGGGATTCAGGTATTGCTGTCTGGTCTTGTCACCTGTCCCAGCAAGAAGTAGTTCAGGTGGGCTGTGGGCTTCCCTAGGCGGGCTGTGGG